GAGAAGGAGGGGTGAAAGCATTTTCATGAAACATTCATTAGGCCCTTGCAACAGTGAAGTATACATGTGCGGCACAAAGCTGATGGTTCAGGCGTCGCGGGGCGTCCCTCACATGTCCATCTGCTTTTCCTCAGGCTGAAAGAAAATGGCGATGTAACTGCCCTTTTTTTGCACCTCATTCGTCATCTATTCTTCATAACAATATTGCTGTAATTTGCCATTTTAACGGGAACAGCTGAGAAAGCTTCATTAAATAAACCAAGGAGCAACATTCACTCCCTTGGTAAAGTTAAATCTGTCCCTGTAACAGGCCGTGGAGGAACACGGGGTTGTGAGACATCGAGGCTCCCACATTTTCTAGACAGTCGGCTCACAGATGGCAGTGAGGTTGTCATCCTTACGCGCCGGCCGCCATTTACGCCCCAGGAAGATTCCTGGTACTCATTTCTGTTAGGGGATGAGTCGATCACAGGGCCATAGCGCGGCTGGAAGGATTAGGTCAATTGAAATATGCAATGACCTCATCTGGAATCGAATTTGAGACTTTCCGGCTTGTAGCATAGTGCTTCAATCAACCACGCTACCGCTTGAACCTACTAACAGATGGAGACATCTGTCATGCCAGCAAATATCTGGGCTGCTATTCCAATGCCCCACCCCCACACCAGAATATGCAGCTGCGGTGCTAACCGCTATGACACAGACAGCCTGAACTTAGCACTGTGTTGCACGACAGACAGGCGCCTCTCCTTAAGTTAACACTGCTATGACAATATAATATATGCAAATCCTTGAACGACAATTAAGAAGGCGGTGGTGGTTGTTAAAACTGATTTTACGCTTCAGTAAATTTCATGTTCAGATTTAGCAATTCTGTCCCACACTTCCCAACCCACCGCTGTTTTTAATCGTGTTGACAAGTAGAAGCTTAAGGAAGGGGGTTGGAAATATGTAATGGTTCTTGGGGTAGAAAAGAGGGGCTGTAAGATCTTATTTTGTAGACCTCGCTCATCTCCCAGGAGTTTCCTCCCGTCTTTGTTACGATCATCAGGCAGATTAATTCATTTGCGTACTGCAGGCAATGTTCGTGTCAAGAAAGAATGGGAGGCTAATAGCACAGTGCGGAAGGACGAGGACGTGTATTTTCCTTTAAACGCTCCCGTTTGAACACAGAGACCGACGGAAGTTACGAATCAGTAACTGCCGTCAGTGGCCAATAGCTCGCGCGACTCTACTTACAAGCACAAGAATATTAATACTTAGTTTCTATGTAACTACGAGGGAGAGTCAGAAAATAGTCCACGAATTGATGTAATAGGTCTTCTATGTGTATCACTAGGTAGCAGCACAGTCTGGGTACCAGACGCGCATGCACATGTTCAGAGGCTGATTTCAGTAGTCAAAATGGCTACCGTGTAAGATTTGAGGCTTTCACGGCGGTGACTATGAAGAAAGNCTCCGAAACGTCGGTTAACACCACATATACACGGTGCCAAATCCCAGAAGACTGCTTTCTTCAAAATGGCTACCGTTCTTGAGGTGCGTACTACCGAAGAGTGGCGTTCTGTTGTGAGGTTTCTGTGAGCAAAAGGGCTCAATGCAAAGGATATTCATAAAGAAATGTTTGTCGCTTAAAACGGTTCAGACTCGCTGGCAAACGTTTCGCTGAGGAGGAAGAGGTTGAAACGGAAGTGCGAAAGTGGCTGAGACAACAGTCAAAAGGCTTCTGTGCTGCGGGTTTCGACGCACTGGTAAAGCAATGGGACAAGTGTATCAATGTTGATGGAGGATATGTCAGAATATCACATGCCTTACGTTTTATATCTATTTGAGACCTACTTACCGACTCTCCACGTATCTGGCCACTATTTACACTACCTATTTGTGCTAGTAACCCGTTACATTACTGACACCGACTCAGTTTTGACAATGCCCCTGTATCAGTTTTTTATTATTGCTAGTGGGGTGGGACTAAGTCCCTTGTACTGCGGACACTTCTGGCCTATTTTACTAGCCCCAGATGATAGGTGAGGGTGATTGTGGAGCAAGTGGTGGAAAGAAGATTGGCAGGGGGAACCGAAGTACTCGGAGAAAACCTGCACCAGCGCCACTTTGTCCACCACAAATCCCATTTGACCAGACCCGGGATCGAACCCGGGCCGCTGCGGTGGGAAGCCAGCGACTAACCGCTTGAGCTATGGCGCAGCCCCTGTATCAGGTTAGTACCAAAGCATCCATGTTAGGTTATTATGTGATCCCGTTCTACGTCTACAATTCGATTCCCACCTACTGCTTCCAGTTTCTGTGCATATACCCGGCCACAATCCGATATTCGGCTGTTGTTTACAATTTATGTACAAGCGTCTGGCTACAGTTCGATCCGAAATGCTCTTTACAATTTTTTCCCAAAGTTTCCGGCCACGGCTGTAACCCCCCCCCCCAATTTTTAATAATTTCTGTGCAAGTGTTGCTGGAATACTATTTAAGCCTCAGTATTTAATAGGGCATTTATGGCACATATCCTAGCTGTATAATTGTACAGAATTTTCTATAGAAACACTAACTCTTTAGAAAGTTTATGTATTTGAAGGTGTCTTATTTGTTCCGCATTTTCGAATTCTGAATGACGGAAAAATCAGAGGAGAGTCTTACACGAGAAGTTTCACTGATGCATCATTACGTGACGCTGTGTTTATGTCAAGTGTTAACACTGACAAGACTAGCCAGCGAAAACGCAAATGCGACATCCCAAAACAAGCCTCCATTTTCATCGCCACAATCACGTGCGAAAGAGGACCGCGTTATTGAAACAGAAGAAGTTAACTCACCATTATACAGACACAAAAACGGCGTGCAGTTGATACAGCAACAACACTCGCCAGTCCGACAGTGATCCAATCATAAACACATGTGCTTCTTGTCGTCAGGACGCGGGACAAATGAGAGTTTTTGTATGGCTTCACGATACACTCGTTTATTACGTCCTCAAGTCTAGAGAGGACAAGCTGAGGGCGATGGTACCGTAATGGATGTCTCCTACTAGAGATGCCTAAACCTGCAGGTGGTTCCCGGGGGTTTTATTTGCAGTGCGGAGGCCAACTAACCATTTACACGAGATTTCAGATTTTCACGACTGTGAAAGTTTATATTGTGGTCTTCTGATTCGTGACACCGTATAACCTACGCGGTTACAAACATTTCGCAGGAATCTGTTACCTCTAAAAACACGTACAAGACTATACGGTCTCATAAGCGGCATCCGTAGTCTAGGGGTAACGTTCCCACCTCATGACTCAAGGTACGCGGGTTAAAACCCGGCGGAGGTCGTGGAATTTTTAAGGGCGGAAAAATTCAGGGAACAAGTCCTCCGGGAGGGACTTCAAGCCGTGGGTCCCGTGTCGTAGCTTTACGGCACGTAAAAGAACCTCATGTCTCTAGGAGACCTCTGAGCCAAATTTATAAGGACATTTCCCACCCAACAATAGTCTCTAACGCCTCTGGTAGATGGGGGAAGCATCTAGATACCGCTGAGCCAGTACCGCCGAACTCGCTGGCTGAGTCGGGACTGATGGCACGCACCAATACCGGTAGGGTATAGAGACTGGTAGAAAATCACAAGGGGACGTACAATATACCACTGGTCGCGGTGCATGGGGAAACCCATCCCCTCCAATAATAATAATAATAATAATAATAATACGGTCTGAACAAAGAACTGCACAATTAAGAGAATGAACTTGACTTAAGCGGTAACACCTTTGAGTTGTATTCGTAAGGTGCCCAGTTCGAATCTCGGACAGGGCAACGTCTATCTTGACTGAGAATTTCGAGGTTTTCTTCTCCTCAGCCAAATACTAGGATACCACTTCTTTTCGCTTCCTTCCCAATCCATTATCCGCTAGCATTCAATTATTCAATAAGCCAGAAGGAAAGAGACCACTGGGAAGACCAAAGCGTAGGTGGGTGGACAATATTAAAATGGATCTTAAGAGAGATATGATGAGATGGTATGGATTGGGTTGATCTGACTCAGGATAGGGATCAGTGGAGGGCTCTTGTGAACACGGTAATGAACCTTCGGGTTCCATAAAATTTTGGGAAATTCTTGAGTAGCTGCAGAATTGGCGGCTCCTCCAGAAAGGCTCAGCTCCACGAGTAAGTACGCAAGCGTCGTTAGTAAATAAACCATAAATAAGCAAATAAATACACTTATTGAATTCCATACAGATTTGTGAGTTTCCGTTAGCCAGTTAGGTTATGTTAGAGCGTCAGTTAATGCTGCATGGGTTGGCAATTTCTGTATTTATATTCCTACGTTTGTATTACAAAGATGAAGAAGAAGAAGAAGAACCATAATAACGGAAAATAGCTTAAATTCTCTATTGTGACGCAACACAGGAAAGGTGGTGCTCCAATCTGGAGCAACTTTACAAAACGCGTTGGTGCTATTCCGGGCTGAAAAAGGGCTTAATTCCCGAGGGCTTTCATTTTAACGAAGCTGCTTCCTGTGTCCTGTGACGTCATAACCGTTCTTCCCAACAGCGGCACGTGTAGGGATGAATCCTCTAACCTGAACTGCAACACTTCCTTCTGTAATACATTTCGCTACTGATCCGGTGCGTCCATCTGCTGCAACAAAGCTGATCCAAATACTACCAGTCTGTACATCAGACAAAAGTATAGGCCAAAATGATTTATTTCGTCATGTTCGGATCCCTTGCACAGTGAACAGTTTTTAAGAAAATTCCAACCATTTATATCTGGGATCATGAATGTATGAGTTAGGCTGGATCAATACAGATCAAAATTAACTTAGTAAGCTTTTACCACAGATCTTTGAAATTTAGTCGATCCACGTACGGGACAGTGTACCTAACGCTTGGCTATGAGGTAACGTTTGAGGTGAGTGGCTAGCTTCACGCTCAGGCCCCAGGGCTGTGTGACTGTTGCTTATAGAGCAGCAACCCTTACCCATATTGTTCCGAAAATGTGAAACTCACCACGTGGGAGCTGCAGGTAGCCTCCTCCTCGCCCGGCCGGGGGCCCTGTTGAGGGCTAGTGCACCCAGGAGGGCCCTGTCGACACAGTGGTAGAGTAAGGTGTGGCCGGTTGCTGGGCTCCGACGCCTTGTTGCAACTCCTGGGCTCCTGGAGGCGCCTGATGCCCCCCTGGGTGGTGGTGATGGTGGTGTTGGGAGAAATTGAAGTCCAGACTTCCATCCATGCTTAGCTCATGCTTGATCACTTCCTCCACATTGCAGTCAAACCCGCCGTGCAGAGTTTCGATGTTGAGGTTAAGGTCGTCCAGTAGGGCGTTGTTGTTCAGAGCGCCCATTAGCTGCCCCATCATTGTGGACGGGGTAGGGGTGCCGGGGCGGCTGTCGGTGTCACGTGACGACAAGGCACGGGGTGGACCGAACTGAGCGCCCTGAGGGACGGGCTGGCCCCGCAAGGGGTCAGGTGATGAGTCGGACTGTGGGTAGGACGGCGAGTGCTGGAGATGACAGGAACAGGGCTGCATCCTGTGTAGATGGCACTGAGACAGGCCGTAGGGAGAAGCTGCGTGTAGCTGCTGGCGAGCCCCAAATTCGTAGGGAGGCGGCGGAGGCGGTGGTTGCTGCCCGTTGCTGCCCCCGTAGCCTTGCAGAAACTCGCCCCCTTGGTGTAGCTTCATGCTCTCCGCCAAGTTACCTGCCAGCTGTTCCGGACCGAACCCTAGAATGGGGCGCCAACAGATGTTAGGAACAAATTCTTTGTAACATTTTTCTTAAAATTCATATTTTGAGGTGAAACTTTCTCCTCCACACGAAATCACAACGAAAATACAGCTTAAGGATAGATCAGAATTGAACGAAACAGGACGTAACATTTATTTATAACATGTCACCACACAAATTCCACACTTCTGGTATTAACGGTCCAACTCAAAAACTTCCTCTTCTCTGTTTTCCTGAAAAGTGACAAAATAAGAATTACACAATTTCAAGCATCCACCAAAAAACAGAAAACCTCAAACCCTACCCCAAATTCTATATGGACATTCCGAAGTTTATACTTTCATTCCACCAAAATTTGGAATAATCTCCCATATTATTTGCAATGAAAGGGCGGTTGGCAATTAGATGTAAGGTTTGCTGAAACAACAATCACATTATTAAGTTCTGTCGCATAATTGGCACTCATGTCGCTCCCGTTTCTGATGATCCAACAGTCGTAGTGTTGCTATTAAGGTATAAAAATGTAAAGCTATCCTTGCAACAGGCCGTCAGGGCCCATAGGGTTGTGAGACGTCGAGGCTCCCACATTTTCTACACAATCGGCTCATGGATGGCGCTGAGGTTATCAGCCTTACGCGCCGTACAACCCCCAGGAAGGTTCCTGGTACTCATTTCTGTTAGCGGCTGTGTGGACCCCAGAGCCGTAGTGCGGCCAGAAGGTTTAGGTGAATTGAAAAAAATCCACCTCATCGGGAATCGAACCCGCGAACTTCGGATCGCAGCATAGTGCGTCAACCAATTATGCTACCGCGTAGGTAGACTTATGATATGGCTAGGCGCTGAACGCCTGATTTTCATACCCAGGGGCTGTCTAAACCAGCCGACAGACGCATACAGTTCGCTATTAAATTCCGGATAAAGGATCTGGAAGGAAAGGGTCGTACCTATCCAATCTGGAGACACTAGCCCGATATTTGCTTAGTGATCGAGTAAGTCATGACCAAACGCGAGCAGAACATGTGGTGTTGGACAAAACCGAACGAACGTATCACATCACCATGGACACAAAGCAGTTCTTTTCTGGAGAAGGTATGTAGGGGAAAATACGTATCTGGAAAAACTCAGGTTTTATGTGAAACGCCAGTCTCGGTACGAGAAGTGGACTTCGAAGCTTCCGAAACATTAACATGTGACCTGCGATCGGACTGGTAGCTATTTTCTGTGTTTGTGTTTCTATTCAATCAAACATTATCACCTACGCCATGTAACGAAACGCCTGTGACATTCACAACACTTCATTTAACACGAGGGACTGAATAAAACCATATCACTTTCAGATCACTCACGCTCGGGGCCTAGATTTGAACCCCAGAACCTGCAGAACAGGAAGAAATAACGTTATTCACGATGCTCTGTTCTATCTGAATTCGTTAGCAGGGAAAGAACAATTCTGACAATACTGACGCGGGGGCTCGGCGCGTTCACGTCATGTCGCGTCACCTGGAGTCTTTAGTACCGTCTGGAAAGGCCAAAAAACCGACCGGCTGAAGAGGAAGGCTAAGGGCGTCCGTGTACATTCTAGAAACGACCCTTCAGGTGAAGCTGACCGTGGGAGGCAGGGCGAGACGTGAAGACAAACTAAACCATCAGAGTACAGAGTGACTGGTGAACTGTACTAGGGTTCAGTCAATCCAGTTCCCAATGAGGCAGGCAACTCTGTGGATGAAGAGACCGGTACGTCAAGTTGACCTCTCGCCTCCAAGCAGTGCAGAGGAGGTTAAGAACACGTTGAGCTTTTATGTCGACGCACTTTAACCGCCTTTACTATGGAGTGCCTGAGCAAAACCCGTCTGTTGTTCAGACAGGTAGTCCTGTGTAGTTAGTTAGTTATTGGAGAGGGTGGGTTTCCCCATGCACTTAGATCTGTATTGGTCCATTGTGCTTCCCTCTATGATTTCTACCAGTCTCTATATCTTACCGGTACTGGTGCTTACCATCAGTCCCGCCCAGCCAGCGAGACCGGCTCTACTAGCTGAGAGGTATCTATAATGCCTCCACCATCTACCGGAGGTATTAGAGACTGCTGTTGGGCGGGAAACGTCCGTAATTTTGGCTCAGTGACCTCCTTTGGAGATATGAGGTTCTTTTACGTGCCGTAAAGCTACGACAGGGGACCCACGGCTTAAGTCCCTCCCGGAGGACTTGTTCCCTGAATTCTTCCGCCCTTAAAAATTCGACGACCTCCGCCGGGTATTTGAACCCGCGTACTACGAGTCATGAGGTGGGAACGTTACCTCTAGACTACGGAGGCCGCTTAGTCCTGTGTATATAATGTAGTGAAATATATCGTGACAAGACGTCTGAAGGCCGGAATAGTGGAACCAGAAAAGACCTCCACTGCTAAGCAACGGCTCTGTAAACACGTTCCCGGTGCAACGAATGCGCGAGCAACAACAGATATATTGTTACGAAAGAAGAGAGCTGGGGTTTGAGTGCTGCGTGCGGTTGAGCTCTGCAGGGGAGGCTGAGAAGAGACGGCGATCCATTACAGTCGAGGGCATAGATGGCAGGCATTTCTGAAAGAGAGCCGGCGAGAGAAGGATCTGAGAGCGGTAACCTGAAGAATCTCCACTGTTAGAAGCCGCTGCCAGGCAAAGGCTGTTGAAGACTTGGGTGTTTACAGCAGTGAATTGTAAGGTGTTGAGATCGGGGGTGGTGCTGTAATAACTTATAGTTCCGCGCAGTCGCACACCCCTAAATCGTAAGAGCATATTGTCCGATGGGACTCAGTAAATAACAACGCTGATAAGAAGGGAACCGTACCCTGCCATAGTAAACAGGCCTGCTGTGATTTCTGTAATCAGACAGGATGTATCGAAATGCATGGCTGCTGAGAGTTTGGAAGGACGCAGCTGTTGTTCCTGGGGCAATTATTTTGATTTTATGAAGTAAATGTAAACATTTCGAAAGGGGGGGCACGGGTATAAAACAGTGGATTTTGTAATAAACAAATAGTCTGATTGTGTACCGAAAGAACAAATAAACACGAGTGATAACAAAATAGAAATGTTAATATGCCTCTGGTGATCACAGTTATCATCATTTCAAATTTCGAGTCGAATCTCCGGCAACGTAAAAAAAAAAACTCGATAATTCGCGCGCGTTCTGCAGACTTAATGAAACTGCTCAGCACTGTAAAAAAGGCGACGTTACCCTGTACTTGACTAATTAAGTACTACGCCATGAAGGCGTATGGGGCAGTGGATATATAGATCCACGTATTCTTTATCTCAACACTAGTTGGAGGTGGGTTGTCAGCTTCAAGCCCCTGCCACATTACCCCCGGGGAAAGATCCCCCGGTACCCATTTGACAGTGGGCTGTGTGAACCCCAGAACCGGTCTGGACCACGTGGAGAACAGAAAATTCTTGCCCCTACCTTGGCTTGAACTCCGACCCCTCATTTGCCCACCCAGTAGTCTGTCGCTATACCGACTGAGCTATCCTGGCGGGGAAAGCGGGATGGGCGGGAAGCTGACCACCCACTTCCATCTAGTGCCGACGTCAAGAATGGTGGAGCTATACCTCCACTCCCCCATATGTTTTCATAGCATAGAGCGTAACTACGTGATTCAGTGCAGCTATAAATTTACCTTTGTTTGAAGGCGGCCGCCTCTGTATGCGCATGCGTGCTTCCCTACGGGTGTTCACAGCCTACAGAGGTGACATCTGAACGGCAATAGCTCAAACATGAAATTCCGTTATACGAGGGTTAAAACACAAGATGATGGTCCCCTAGAAAACATTCGGCGATTTAAATTTAATTAATGTAATTATACAAATAAATAGTAACCTCAAAACTGAGTGCCTGGGCAGCACACTTCGTCAGGACCGTATGTGTGTGTGTGGGTACTTCGGAGTATGCAGAAGACTAGAGGGGACAGCGGCTTGCAACAACGTCCACAGAGAACAGACGATTAGACTATAACTTTTTTTTTATTCCTACTGGGGTGGTCATTGGATTTTTTTCAGTTGACCTAATCCTCCAGCTGCACTCGGCCCTGGGGTTTACTCAACCTCTAAGAGAAATGAGTACCAGGAATTAATTAAATAATATTCCTGAGGGTTTAGCGCGGCCGGCGCGTAAGGCTGACAACCTTACCGCCATCTTTGAGCCGATTGTCTAGAGTCTAGACAATGTGGGATCCTCAACGTCTCACAACCCTATGGGCCTTTACGGCCTGGTACGGGGATAGCTTTTCTTTTTTTTTTTTTTTCGTGGGGTGAGACTAAGTCCCTTGTACTGCGGCCACTTCTGGCCTATTGTACCAGCCCCAGATGATAGGTGAGGGTGATTGTGGAGCAATTGGTGGAATGAAGATTGGCAGGGGAAACCTACGTACTCGGACAAAACCTGCCCCAGCGCCACTACAAATCCCACTTGACCAGACCCGCGATCGAACCCGGGCCGCTGCGGTAGGAAGCCAGCGACTAACCGCTTGAGCTATGGCACGGCCTCAACTAACTAACTTCATGGAGCTGAGCTCTTCTTGAGAAGGTGCCAGTTGTGCACCTACTCAAGAACTCCCCAGCATTTTATGGAACCCGAAGGTTCATTACCATGTTCACGAGAGCCCTCCACTGGTCCCTATCCTGAGCCAGAGCAATCCATACCATCCTATCTCTCTAAGATCCATTTTAATATTATCCACCCACCTACGTCTTGGTAGAAGATTACACTACAGCCTTCCTAAATGGAGACTGCGATTAGAGCAAAGGGTGTGTAAGTACCGGAAGGCCATGGAAGAGACGGGAACCGGAAACCAAGATGCAGAAATTTAAGGAAATCGCACCTGACGCTGTAGAGTACGTCGCCCACTCCGTCTCGACGGGCACCGGACGGAAGGGCGACATTCGGCCACAAGACGAAGCGTTGGAGGAGGCGCGGGGTCTGAAGTCAGGACTCAGCTGGAAGCTGGCCGTCGCTACGGCAGGTGACCCCGGGAACATGTCCAGGCCCTCCGAGATTGAGGAGCTGGGGCTGGGCGTCGCGTCGGTCGCCGCCTGAAGGCCGTTCCGCAGTGCCTCCACCTTCTTCTTGACCCTCCCTCGGCGCTTCTCGAACTTGGACGTCTCCATGGAGGTGGCACGACGGCGGGCGCTCTTCCCCGGCTTGGCGTCCGGGTTGATCATCCACCAGGATGACTTGCCCGTGCCCTCGTTCTGCACGCGCATGAAGCGGTTGTGGAGAGACAGGTTGTGGCGGATCGAGTTCTGCAACACAAAGTTTTGTTGCTTTACTGCATTGTTATAATTACACGTATCTGCAGGGTCCCCTCAGGTGGGAAGCTACGGTCCTAGCGGTCCTAGCCAATAAAACGCCATCTCAATTTCTGCCTTGCACAAAGCTCATTCGGTATGGCGACAGCGTAGACGGCCGGGGTTCGATTCTCGGGACGAGCAAGAGATTTCGCTCTTCTCCGCAGAATTCACTCCGGCTCTGGGGCCCATCCAGCTCTTTTCTTAGGGGTAAAACGGCAACCACTCACCTCAATCTAGTGCCGAGCTCAAGAATGGTGGAGCTATACCTCCACCCCTCATACGTCTTCACGACCAACTTTACGCAACGTCCTCTAGCCGGATGCTTTCAAATACACAGGCCACAAGCTATCTTTTTGATATCCTTGACTGTATTTTAAAGCACGTCTTACAACCTAATAAACAAATAACTACTATGCTACAAGCCAGAAGGTCGCGGGTTCAAGTCCCGATGAGGTCATTGGATTTTTCCAATTGACCTAATCCTTCCGGCCGCACTAGGCCCTGGGGATTACTCAGCCTCTAACAGAAATGTGTACCAGAAATTAATTAAATAATTTTCCTGGGGAGTAAAGCGCGGCCGGTGCGTAAGGCTGACAACCTTACCGCCATCTTTGAGCCGATTGTCTAGATAATGTGGGACCCTCGACGTCTCACAACCCTATGGGCCTTCATGGCCTGGTACAGGGATTACTTTTTTACTTTTACTTTTACTTTACTTTACGGTTACTATAATGCACCAGCACTGCGCAGGCTTCAGTTTACTTTTAATAACAACAATTTCAGCAGCTATCCAATGGTCACGTGATTAGTGAGTAATGAACTGCAAAGACATGAAACCGGTAGTGACGTAATGCATTATTGTGGCATGTGCTTGGAAGGGCTCAGCATAGCCAGCCTCCATGTGTATTCCCCTGTCGATACTACGCAACGGCTTGGTAAAAACGTTACCGCGGTAACGAATACATATGCAACAATAGAATTATTGCATGATTCCTTTTATATGCGGTCCGCGTAGTACCAAAGAAATGTCGACACTCTCTTCTCTAACACCGTGAATTTTTATTCTAATCCTTCCGGCCGCACTATGGCTCCGGGGTCGACTCAGCCTCTAACAGAAATGTGTACCAGAAATTAATTAAATAATTTTCATGGGGAGTAAAGCGCAGCCGGCGCGTAAGGCTGACAACCTTACCGCCATCTTTGAGCCGATTGTCTAGATAATGTGGGACCCTCAACGTCTCACAACCCTATGGGCCTTCATGGCCTATTACAGGAATAGCTTTACTTTTATATATTAATTTGTATTTTTAAACAGCGAAAATTTCGCTTAGTTTCAACAATCATGCTCCTGAAAGAAGAAAGCAGTCTTCTGGGATTTGCCACCGTGTATATGTGGTGTTAACCGACGTTTCGGAGGAATGTATCGCCTCCATCTTCAGGGTAGAAGAAAAAATATAAGAAATCTGCAAGCGAAGAGACCGTGAGAACCGGTAAAAGCAGACCGAAACGTCGGTTAACACCACATATACACGGTGCCAAATCCCAGAAGACTGCTTTCTTCATAGTCACCGCCGTGAAAGCCTCAAATCTTATAATCATGCTCCTCTTTATGTCACATCGGTGTACAAGTACTTTTACGTTTAAAATATGTCAAACTAAACATATTCATTTTACACAACAACGTATTTCACAGACATCCCTGTTTTCAGGTCTCGACTACATTACCTCTCAAAGAGGGCGGCTTTCTTACTGCTGCGAACATCTGTAGAATATAGTGGAATTGGATAATTAATTCAAAAAATTTATTTACTTTATTTTCTTCCTACTCCTTAATACTGACATTACCTGATTATCTGCTTTTCACGTGCAGGGGTGACTACTGATGGGGTGTGGATTGGCTGATTGGATTTATTGACATCTTATACGTGTACACACCACTCGGAACTACACTACAGTTCACCGTTATATACACACACTAGTGACCTCAGTCTTCACTTGTCGTATCCTGGCAACGGATTTCAACACAATAACTATATTAGTCTCACTTTAACTAGAACACACATTAAGTCTTCTGTCCACAGCCAAACTCCTTTCTTCGACTGTCGTCTGAAGAGACTCCCTCAATTCTGATTCGAGTCAGAGTAAGAGTCAGGGTTACTTTACGACTGGCGGTTTACCGCCAATCAGTTCGTCTTGGCATCAGGCCCCTGGAGGCCCACGACCAGAGATTTTTTTTTTCAACTGAACGCTTGCGGTAATAGTCCTTATGTAACAACCTCTCTGACGAGAAGATGGATTTGTCTCTTATGAATATAGTCGACCTTTCGTCAAGTGTATATTTCGCACATATGACATGTTATCGAAAACGCTTCCTTTTGCTTCACATACAAGTTCTCTGTCGGTACAGGCTTTACAGATCAGATCATGCCTAACTTACACATCTTATGCTACAATGAAAACTTAAGTAATTTGAACTGTCATAAGCTTGACCACCGCCGAGTTTAAGCCTCTTACATTTTCTGTGTCTGACTTCACCTTGTCCTATGCCGTGAACATGTTTTCTGATTCCAGTGGCCTGGAATCCTCGTTATATCGTCTCGAGGAGGACCCAACAGAAAACGCCGTTTACATCGTATCCCAGCAATACTTCGATTGCTGCTTACGTATTCGTTGCTGCGGGAACCTGTTTACGGAGTCGGTGAGTAGCAATGGACGTCTCTTGATTCGTCTATTTTATAGAAGTGGCTGTTCTAGTTACATATTGCATAATCTCCAGTTTATTTCGAAATTCTCGACTAACAATATGATCAGGTACAGTGTGTATAATTTATCCATTTCCTGAGAATAAGATAAAAAATTATTGCGTCTTCCGGGTTCCACGCACTCTTACTATATTATTATAACCATTTCAATATAGTCTCCTCTAATATACATAAATTATGTTAGTTACATTACATGGAAACATTTCTCATTTATTATCATCATTTTAACACAGGCCTAAACGGACATGAAGCCGGAAGTTACTACGCTACTTAGATGCATCCTCTCTCGGCCAATGCGAACTTATTTCAAGTCTCTCCGCTAAGGGAACACGTTACAAAATATGAAGTGAATAAGTACAATGCCATCTACTAGCATTTGCTGGAAACTTCCCTTCCTTACATATAATTGAACAAGTGAACCTCTCAACTCCCTAAGGTCATTATATAATTATCCCCTCTCCGCTAGACAGCAAGTGCACCAGTTTCCAATCTTGCGTCTCCGTCCCACTGTCGCCCTCACATCGGGGAGAACCGTGGCGCCGACGCCCGCACGGGCCGTAGGAACCATCAGGAAATGACGCCCAATCGAAAAATCTTGAAATTCAAATCCGCGAAGTCTTTAAAAAAAAAAGAGACAAGGAAAATTCTGTATAGAAGTTGCTCTGGGAACTTTGTGGCGTTAAATGGTTGGGGGGGGGGCGGAGGGATACAGCTACAGACGGCAACCGTCCGTCTGTCTATCCGCGTCAAACAATGTGCATCGGGCTGGACGGATTCTAATAATAAAAAAAAAAAATTTCACATTAAAAACTTATCACCCACGTCTGATTCACACTGTGCCATGAACAAACTGAAATTTCCTCCCGAGAAAAGACATCTCTGTTATAAGTTGGCTAATGAAGTTTAGAGAAACAATCGCATCGCTGTTATTTTGACAAACATTTCCATAGCCGGAAACGCCATCTTAATATCATCATTACATCTAGTCATAGATATCTCAATTTTCCTCTTCCCTTCAGATTTCTCGACCAAAATTCTGTAGGCATTTTTCACCTCCCAATGTCCGAGTTTTCTGGAATAAGTTATGAGCAGGGCCCGGATTTTGATGACATATCATCTTTTTTTCCTTGTATCCTATGCGATTCTCTTAAATATATAAATCTCGGATATAAGCTGCTGTAAATTTTATAGGTAATTTTTTTTTGGACTTTTAAGGGTATTTCTTGTCATTTTGGGCCATTTTANTTTTTTTTGTCATTCTTTGGTAAATTTTTGGACTTTTAAGGGTATTTCTTGTCATTTTGGGCCATTTTAGGGCATTTTTCTTCATGTTTTCTGAAATGTGAATAACATGGAAGCGAAGTGTTCTTTCTTTTCTCCTTTAGGTCATTTTTCTTAAATTTTCCGTCATTTTTTAAATATTATCAGGTCATCAAAATCCGGGCCCTGGTTATGAGGGTGTGAGCGCGATTAAAGTGGTTCGGGATGGGAATTTTTTGAACAGATCCTCTGCGTCCACAAGAAACTGTATATTTAAGCACTGCCTAATGCAGAGTTAATTCTTTACTTCGACGATTACTTTTTTTTATATATTCGCATGGTGGGGGATGGAGTTCAGCTGGGTCCACTCGGCACGTCGGCCCCTGATTGGCCTACTGTACCTACCCCGGGTGATGGAGAATTTGGCGGAATAAAGATTGGCAGGGGAAACCGAAGTACTCGGAGAAAACCTGCCCCAGCGCCACTTTGCCCACCACAAATCTCACTCGACCAGACCCGAGCTCGAAGCCGGGCCGCCGCGGTAGGAAGCCAGCGACTAACCGCTTGAGCTATGGCGCGGCCAAAATGAAATGCCAACAGCACATTTTCTTCCCAAGCGGTCACCTATCGAAGTACTAACCACGGCGAATGTTGCTTAACTTCGGTGATCGGACAAAAACCATTGTTTTCAACAGGTAGTATATTAGCCAGTAGTTCGACGATTATTTAACCGCATAATTAAATGAAGGGAACACAGAGCAACTTAACGGCATATCGACATTAAGCATAAAGGGCCTTCTAAAGTAGTTTCATTTGTAGTAGCCCTACAACGTCACTGCTGACCACCACTGACTCCAGATCAGTTATATTATGAAAGAAAAACAGTAGCTTGCGCTACGAACTTAGTGTTCTTTAGTGCAGACGATATAA